GGGGAAGATTATGTGACCTCAGACTTCCATGAGCAGACTAGCTCTGTCAACATCTGACATCATCAGCCACTTTTGCCATCTTTCTGCACACTTCTCCTGCCAAATCCTTTCCACTCCTTCAGTGCAGGGAACAGATGTTAGTTAGAGGCTCTGTTTCTCTGCTACTGTATTCTTTACCTAAGTGTATGACCCATTCTTGTTTTCCAGAGATTAGGAGAATAATTTGGAACAGAAGGAGCCTCTGGAGAACTCCAATCCAGCTCCCTGATTGAAGCTGGGCCAACTGCAGTGTCAGAAGTGGTTGCTCAGGGCCTTGCCCTGATGAGTTTTGAAAGTCCCCAAGGCCTTTCCAGAGTCTGACCTCTCTCATTATGAAGAATTTTTCCCTTATGTTTAATGTGAACTTCCCCAGCTTCAGCTCTCAGGAGTTGTATCTTGTCCCTTCAGTGAATACTCCTGGGAGGAGCTGATGCTTTTCCTTGTAGCTGTCCATCCACTAATGGCAAAGACTTCTCCTCAAGACTCTCTCTTCTCCAGGCTGAACAAGCTTAGTTCCTGCTCCTGGTTCTGATTTCATCCAGACCATTCCTTCCCCATTCTTCACTCTAAGGTACTACATTGGGCTGTCCAGAGAGATTGTGGAGTCTCCTCCTCTGGAAATTTTTAAAACCTACATGGACACGATCCTGTGCAATATGCTCTGTGTGAACCTGCTGTAGCAGTGGGGTTGGAGTAGATGATCTCCAGAGGTGCCTTGCAATCCTAACTATTCAGTGATTCTGTAACTTGGATTCCAGATTCCTGGTTTAACCATTCTTATTCCCCTTCTCTTCTCCTTGTGCCATACCTCCAGCCTAGTTGCCCATTCCAAACCTTCTTCCCTTTGGTGGGTTTTCTACCTGAAAATGGAAGTGTCTCCTTCACTGGTCTTCAGGACCAGGGACTCCCTTCTCCACTCCCTTTTCTGGGAAACTCAGGAGGAGTAAAGAGTAAATACTCTTCCATAGTCACCTTCCAGAATATTTCTTGATAGAGTATACTGCTTGTGAACTGGAAAATCATGAAGTCACCAAACTGTTTGGGTTGGATGGGACCTTAAAGAACACTCATTTCCAGTCCCCTCCCATAGGCAAGGACACCTTCCACTAGACCAGGTTGCTCCAAGCTCCATCCAACCTGGCCTTGAACACTTTCATGGATGAGGCATCCACAGCTTCTTTGCAACTTGTGCCAGTGTTTTACCACCTTCACAGTTAAGAACTTCTTCCTCATCTAAATCTCTGCTCCTATTTTAAAGCTGTTCCCCCTTTTCTTGTCCTATCCCCCTGCATAAAAAGCCACTCTTCCTCTTTCTTACAAGCCCCCTTTAGGTATGGAAAGGCTGCAATCAGGTCTCACATTGTCTCCCAGATACGTGTCTGACATGACAACTGCTAGAAGTGGACCGGAGGAGGGAATCTGTGGCTCTGCAACACAGCAGAACAGCCATGGTCAATAGCTTGTGAGAAAAGAGACTCAGTGTTGCAGGACTGTTCCCTTATATTGGCCCAAATTTTGCTTGATATCATGTTGCATTAGCCTCCAAATGTCTTTGCTTGTAAAAGAATGTAGTATAGCCTGACAGGTCCTCCTCAGAAAGCTCTTCCATGTGTTTTGTTTCTTCTTCCTCCCATTTCAGTTTCAACCCATTTCCCTGGTTACTGATACTTTTATTTCAGTTTGTTTCTCCACAGAGAAATAAAAGAGTAGTGAATTACATGGGGAATAGATATGGCGAGGAAATACTTCGAGTTCCCAAAATATTAGGAGGCAATTACTCTCTTGTATACTAACCCATCATGGTTAGTTTAGGGCTGACCAGGGTCCCAGCAGAAATCTGTGGACAGAGACTGGTACCCTGTGTGGGGGTTATTTTGTCTTGGCTTTGCAGAAAAAAACAAGTTTCAGGAAGCTGAGACTTGATTTTCCATGGATGACCAACAAGAATTATGACTTGCTGAGCTCAAAGGGCCCCTCTCTGGGACTGTTCCTAGTGCTTCCAGTACTTACTTGATCCCACTACAGGGGATTGTTTCAGGAAGAAAACAAAGCAAACTGTGGTAGGAAATGCTTTAGGGAGATCTATTGTTGTTCAGCATGGAGAAGAGAAGACTGCAAGGAGACCTCATTGCTGCATTCCCGTACCTAAAGGGGTTTTAAAAAGGAGAGAGACTAACTTCTTATATGGGCAGATAGTAATAGGACAAGGAGCAATGGTTTTAAACTGAAAGAGGGGAGGTGTAGATTAAGTGTCAGGAGGAAATTCTTGGTTGTGAGAGTGGTGAAGCCTGGGCACAGGTTGCCCAGAGAAGCTGTGGCTGTCCCGCCCCTGGCAGTGTCCAAAGCCAGGTTGGATGGGGCCCTGAGCAACCTGGTTTAGTAAGTGGCATCACTGCTAATGGCAGGGGGTTGAAATGAGATGGTCTTTAAGGTGCTTTCCAGCCCAAACCAGTTTAGGATTCTGTGTTTCTATTGTCCTGTCCCATGCAAACAGCTGCAGAAAGGAAGCCATTTTTTGCATGTGGCAACTTAAAGAAAACAGAGTTTGCACTGACTGCATAAATCCCAAACACGCTATTACAGATGCCAGAATCACAGAAGGATATCCCTTGGCTTAGCAGAAGGAGCTCTTTGCATCAACAGAGGTTTTTGCAAGGACTTTATGAAAAAGCAACGAATGAGGGTGTCAATTTTGGTTGCAAAATAACAGGCTGTCTCATGCCTACTGTCCTGATTCCACTGGGATGGGGCTCATATTCTGCTTTGTTAAACCATGACACCAACCTATCAGCCCCAGGACAATGGGGCTGATTGGTGGAAAGATGTGCAATGTCTTGGTGATGGCTACATTTGACATAGGATCAGGTACTTTGTCATTTGGTCTTCATGCAGGCACAGTAACACACAGGGGAGGCAAAAGGTGGGGCTGTCATCTACATATAACTATTTTGAATAATTTTGAACAATTTAGTGTAGAGTTCCTATTTTCCCTGTTTTCCCTCTTTGTAAATTTATTCATATTTTCTTCTCCTCATGCTTCTCATCTCACCCAGATTAAAAGAATTGGCTGAAGCATGCTCATGTCACTACTTGGTTGCTTATGCTGCTAACAGAAAAATCCAAATGAGCCATGCTGCACTTTACTTCTGAGACTTATTCCTCCAAAAACGATTTCTGCTCCCTGGGAAGTCAATGGAAGTCTAATTAGTCCCATAGTAATAACAAGAACTTCCTTTTTGTAGAGGAAAACAATAGCAGTGTTAAAACTGTTAATTAAATGAGTTTGGCTCTGTCATCAGGTTATTAACAGATTCTAGTCACAGCAGCCAAGCTAGCAGTGGCTCTCACAGCAGGAGAAATAGTCCTGCCATGCTTGACACAAAAGCCATGAACTCAGTCTGTGGCAAATCAGCATCTGAACGCACAGCTTGGAGCTTGGCTTGCTTTTGAGCTTCCAGCTAATCCCTGGGATTGCTGCATGTGCAAGCCTTCTACAAGATCAAGTGCTTGAGCCATTGGCTTCTGTAAATGTAAGGTCAGGTCCTATTGCTGCTGATGGTTTGTTCAAATTCACAGGATCGCAGAAATCACAAAATGGTTTGGTTTGAGAGGGACCTTAAAGATCATCTTTTTCCAATCCCTTGCCCTGGGAAGGGACACCTTCTGCTAGACCAGATTGCTCCAAATCCCATCCAGTGTGGCCTTGAATATATCCGGGGATGGGGCAGACACAGCTTTTCTGGGCAACCTGTCCCAGATTCTTGTCTACATCTCCAGTACATCTCCTTATTCTCCATTGGTTGTACTCTATAATATGAAGCAGCTGTCTCTGCTTCAGGACCAGAAGGCAAAGGTCCAAGGTGGAGTCCAAGTACCACAGAAAAATAGGAAGGCATTTCTTTTCATCTGTGGAGCATTCCAAGCTAGTGCTTTAATATATCCACTGCCTTGTGCGTTTTACAAAATTCAAAGTTGTTTTTATTGTACAAAATTCCACAATGAAAACCACCAGCCAGTTTCATACACAATTGCTTAAAAAATATAATTATACACCATTTTGTAGTGTGGTAGTTTTGACATTCGCTAGCTGGAAGAAACAGAAATGGAGCAGCAATTTGACTCTGAGTTATTTACCTAGACAGGTTTCAGTTTGACCACTACTTATATGTGCCTGAATGGACAGTTCCTGGCATTAACAGAAGACCTGATTTAGTTCCTTTTCAAGCCACTGAACCCTGTTAGCAGGTCAGGCTCTCACTCACTGTCATGTTCCCTCCAAAAGGGTGAATTTTCTGTGAGAGTTTGGGACATAATATTTGTCAGCGTCAATTCTTAGCAAGGCAACCAGCTAGCCATGTTAAACACATCACAGAATGAGGACCTACAGAACTTTTCTCACAGCACATCCTCTAGACAATAATATATTTCTGGGGAAAGTCAGCAGAAAGACAGATCTGAATAATGGCCCAGGACTGTGTTCCCCATGCATTATTTCACACTGATATCTTCAAAACAATTTTTTGCAGTCTAACCTGCCATGGCCTTTAAAAATAGATATACTATTCTTCTGCATTGAAATGCAATCATATGCAGTTATTTTCCACCAGTTTTTTTTAGAAATATAAACATTTCAGTTCAATGTTAGCTGGTTGAAATTCATGCTCCAGGATTTTTTTTAAAAACACTTCACCCCAGAGATGACTTTCTTCACATTAAACTCAGTTAAATATATATTGCACACAAGGGCCAATTTTCTCCTCTTTGAGTTAAACCATGGATCTGCAAAACATGGCAAATTCTCCTTCAAATCCCTGCAACCCATACTGGTGGTGTAATTCAGGGGCACTTCAAAAGCATTTAAAATCCACAGCTGGAAATCAAAGATGAGAATTTTACCCTTTATTTCTACACACTGTCAGTGTAGCACCTGATTTCTTCAGTTTTCAAGACATTTTGTGTTACTATGCTTTAAACTGATGGGTAAAGTTTTGCCTGCGGAAGCAAAAAAATGAACCCACACCGATGATGATCACAGATAAAACCAACACAAGTGTTAATATAGTAAGGAAGTTGATTTTCTTCAGATCCTCTTTTTCACAGTCTTCTGGTCTAATGTTCTTGATGTGCATTTCATCCTGGTATCTGAAATTCTGAGTGTGCTGGCACATTAAATGCTCCACGTTGGGGATCTGGACATTTTTGTTCTGGATCATGGATGAAAGCCAGATGTTTCCACAGCAGCTGAGTGGGTTCCCGGTGAGATACAAGTTTTTTAGTGAATTTTCTAATGCTAAAATATTGCTGTTCTGCAATGTACTGAACCTGTTGTTCCGTAGGTCCAGAACTTCTAGTGAGGAGTCACTACCCCACTTGGGCAGCCAGTTCAGCTGATTTTCAGAGAGGTTCAAATGTTTAAGGTGACTAAAACAAGGCAAGTCAATATTTAAATCTACCAGGCTATTACCATATAAATACAAACATTCCAGAGACTTTTCCAGACCTGATAATGCTTTAAGTTCTATTTTCAGTCCAGGGTTCATGGAGAGGTCCAAGACAACCAGAGGAGTCTTGTAGAAGCTGTATGCTGGTAGGAGGTTCAGCATGTTGTCAGCTAGGTACAAGTACTGAAGAGTGGGAGAATTGACAAACGACACACAACCACTTTGCTCTCCAGCAAGTCTTTGCTTAGCCAATCCTGAGTACATGCTGCAAAGGCTGATGTTATTGCTTTGTAGGTTAAGCAGTCTAAGGCTAGGAAGATTTGAGAAGATGTCAAACTGCAGTGTTTGAAGATAGTTGTTTTGAATATAGAGCTCCTTCAGATTTGACAATGTACCAGCATCAAGGAGAAGGTTCTGCAAAGCGTTGTAGCTCAAGTCAAGGACAGTTAAAGAGATCAGTGCACTGTCATAACTTACTGCAAATGCCTGAAGACAGTTTTTGCTGAGATTAAGGGTGTGAAGGGACAACATTGAATCAAAGAACCCATCTGGAATGGATTTGATTTCATTATAACTTAAGTCTAAATATACAAGCTGTGATAAATAAAGAGAACTTTTGTTTCTACTTTGCTTCTGGTCAAGAAAATGGACAGAAGCATTTAGCCATTCATTTTTCACATAGTCCATTTTATTATGAGGGGATTCCGCAGTGAGCTGGATTAAATTCTTTGATAAATTCAGAGTTACCAGCTTATTTACCTGAGGGAACACTGGGAAATGAAACAGTTTGTTTTCACTCAGATCCAAACACCTTAAGCTATATTCATCATCTGATTTTGTGGTGTGGAAGGTCTCAATGCTGTTCCTGCTGAGGTCAAGTATCTCCAGCTGCCTGAGGTTAAAATCAGAGATGCAAGTAATTGAATTCTTTGAGAGATTGAGTTTGGACAGGCTCACTAGAGTCTCAAAAGCACCTTCTTCTATTTCCATGATGATGTTGCTCTGAAGATCTATCTCCACAAGATTGGGAGATCCCTGAAACATCTTTTGTGAAATCATTATAATACTGTTGTCTGCCAAGGAAAGATACTGCAGTGCTGGAGCTTCTTTAATGAAATACTCAGCCATCCCATTGTACAGATTGTTGTGGGACAAGTCCAGTACTTCCACCTTGGGTAAGAGTCCAATCCCCTCTGTGCCATTTTGAGCAAGCTCATATAAGTGATTGTTAGCTAAATTTATTTCCAGCAAACTCTTCATGTGTGCGAAGACTCCAGGCGTGATGAAACTTATCTGGTTAGAGCTTAAATCCAGGCACTGAAGGGAAGTGTAAAATGATGGTGACATTTCAGGAATGCTTTGAATCAGATTTCCCGACAGATCTATTTTGTTTACATTTGGATAGAGTTCATAAGGGATTTGGTGGAGGTCTTTGTTGTGGCAAAATGCCTGAGAGTTTGCCTGCCAGAAAAAGAGAAAAGGACATGTCACACGACAAATGAAAAATGTCTTTGCGTTAAATATAAGAAAAATAACATTCAGCATCGAGGCAGATGCTGCTTCTGAAACACTGATCACTTTCTCTGAGCATTCAGACAGCAAGAGCAACGATCCCAATTAGCTCCTTCGCAGCTAACATTTCATTTTAAAGATATTTCTGACTTTGAATAGTAGAGTTTAATCTGCATGTGATACTTCCTAAAAGTTCTCCTTTTTGTACCATTCTCCTGAACTCAGTCCAGGAGAAAGGTACAAAAAGGAATAGTCCCAAGTTTCTCTGCAATCAAGCATCTTTTCCTCATTTTTGTGCTGATGTTTAATTTTCTCACTTTCATCACTGTATTGCAGACTCCACTTGCAGTAGTAAGCAGTACTTGGAAGAGTTTCCCTCTGTTGGCAACATGGGTTCCTGAGCAAGGAGGTATAAAACCCTATAAGGATCCTATAGCACAAACCCTGTCTCTCCTTCACAGTCACATGTTCAAATATGCCTTCCCTTAGCCATGGCTCAGTTAAGGAAGGCAGCTTTAATCAAATAGGGTCATTCAACAACTGAGACATTTCTGACACCAATCTCCAAACTCATTCCACTTCTATCTTCCATGTTTATCCTTTTCCTAGGGCAACAGTTCCCTTCTACTTGCATGGAAAGCATGCCTTATGAAGCCACCCACATAAGACACTGTGATACAAGACTGAAAACATAAATTATGTAAATTCAGTGTTTGAGAGGGGAAAAGATGGGATGTGCAGTTAGGGTCAGGCCTTTTCAGGCCAATTCCCAGCAGAAGGGCAAAATTTATGTGCGTGTTCATGAGGAACATTGGAAACATGAACACAACCATCCTCACATAACCATCAAGTTCTATTTTGTTGTTAAGAAGAACATACAACAGCAGGAGGAAATGGAATGTGAAAGGCTTAGGCAGCATTTAATTTACTGGAGGGAAAGTCTTGTTATTAATGTGTTTGGGTGTCTGGGGAAAAGGGAAGGAAAGTTCAAGGAAGGGAAGGGAGAAAAGGAAAGAAAGAAAAAGAGAAAGAAAAAGAGAGAAAGAGAGAGAGGAAGAGAGGAAGAAAGAGAGAGGAAGAGAGAGGAAGAAAGAGAAAGAGAGAGGGAAAGAGGGAAAGAGAGAAAGAGAGAGAGAGGGAGAGAGAGAGAGAAAGAGAGAAAGAGAGAAAGAGAGAAAGAGAGAAAGAGAGAGAAAGAGAGAAAGAGAGAGAGAAAGAGAGAAAGAGAGAGAGAAAGAGAGAGAGAAAGAGAGAAAAAGAGAAAGAGAGAGAGAAAGAGAGAAAGAGAGAAAAAGAGAAAGAGAGAGAGAAAGAGAGAAAGAAAGAAAGAAAGAAGGAACAAAAGAAAGAAAGAAAGAAAGAAAGAAAGAAAGAAAGAAAGAAAGAAAAAGAAAGAAAGAAAAGAAAGAGAAAGAAAGATCTGTTGAAACTTAACTTCTATGGAGAAGCAGAAGAAGCAGAAGAAATTTTTTAAAAAAAGGAAATTTTCTGACTTCTCCCTGAAAATTTTTCTTTCCTGCAAAGCCACTGTGCAATTCCTCATTTTGAGTTAAATTACGCCCAGAGTTGGCCTTATTTCCTAGGCACAAATAGCAGGGCAGGAAACCTCTTCTTACTCATTTGTGGAAGAGGAAGAAGCCAGGAAGATACAAAAATCAGAGTGAAAAAGCAGAAACTGCTTTGCATCCTAAGGCAGATGCCAGGTTTGTTCTCACACTTGCAGCCAGATCTCAGCAAGTGCTGAGCACCCTCCATTCCCCTGGGCAGCAGGAATCTTACCAAAGTCCGGATGCAACTCCTGCCAATGCCAAAAATCTGCTTTTCATTGAAGTTGCTGGGGGAGAGGTCAGCCACTGTTGACCATGTATCTTGCATGATTTGGTTTTTAATCTGCATCCATGGAACCCTTCCAGTGATAAAAGGGACTGATAAAATCTACACCTCACACTGTCTGCCATTTGTTCCCATAACATTTTCCCTCTCATTTTTCTTTTTAAACTCCCCTTCCTTTTCACTGACTATTTTGGCCCTCACTAAATTTCTTACTTTGTCTCTTCTGCGCCATATTTTCCTCCAAGGCACAAACTTGCATGAATTTCATTGTCATCAGCAGTAGGGAAAAAACAGATGAAGCATGTCTCTGTGGGATGGAGCAAACAGCATCTGTTTGGTTTATCTTGCCTCTCACCCCTTAGTCCAATGGGCTGGTAACCTGAGACTGGAAAAGGGACTTTTGTCAATCTCATGTTCTGACTTCATCACCTCTGCCAGTGCTGCCATCAGTTTGTTTCATTGTCAAGAAGTACTGGAGGGTGAGGACCACTTGGTCCATTAAGACGCTGGCAAAAAAAAAAAACCCAAAAAAATTACCCAACAGTTCAAAAGCTGGGCATCATTTGGTTTCTGACTCCAGTTCTTCACTGCTCAGCACAGGGTGGAAGTTGTCAGCCACCTCAGTAAGAGCCCTTCAAAAAGGAGTTGGACTCAAGCCTGCCCTTAAGTTCTCCTTTATCAATTCATGAACATTTGAACCAAGAATCTGGGCTGGAGGCCCTTGGCACTGACCTGTACTTGTATGGTGTCCCTGACCATTCTTAGAAGAGCTGCTCAGGGAGAGGCTCACCTACACAATCAAACCTTGGCATTTTGCCAGGTACCACACATCAGCTGACCTATGACATCTGGTTATGCATCTGTCCTTGCATCACCTCAAAGCAAGGTAAAATAGAATTTTCTAAAATCCCTTCCCTTCTATGAATTATTTAAAATTTCCTCCTCTGTCTGGAGGAAATTATCTGAAATTTCCTCCTGATTAACAGAAATTAGCAGTCATCTTTCTTTGGGAGGTAAAATGTGATGCAGTTGAAGTTTTGCCTATCCTTGGAAAATAATGTGAGTTAGGAAGAATGTCCTGACATTTGATCTGTCCTTTTTGTCTCACAAACTGATAGATGGGCTGTGACTGGTGTAATCAGTGCAGTTCACCCCATGTCAGGGGTCTGCTAGGAACTGCTTACTTCCTAAAACCTCTTGTAGGAGAGTTTAGTTCAGCAACAGAACCATCAGTGGTGACTCAGAAAGTGGCACAGGTTTCTGACTCATGCCTCTTCCGTGCTATTTGAGATTAAAGTTTCCATTTCTGAGCCTTTGCTATTCTAAAGGTGTCACCACAGGGAAAGTACCATATAAAGCAGTGAGGCTGTGATGCAATGCAGGACTGTCAATGACAGCTAACCAGCCAATCCAGCAGCTCCCTCTTTATTTGAGCATGTTTAGAGGTGCACCAAATGCCAGTGAAGGAAGGCAATCAGCATGGACATTAGCAACACTGACTGAGCTGTTGATTCACATCACATGAGCATCCTGGCCCCTGACTGCAGTGTGTTTTCTGTCAGGGCTCATTTTCTCCCAGCCTAGTTGTGTCGTTGGCTTGATGAAAGCAGGTTACAGTGGAGTAGTGCAAGCAAGCATGTGTTTACTTCTCAGCAATCAGCCTGCTCTGTGAGCCATCAAGAAATGGGATGAAATTGCTTGGATTATTGCGTGGCTCATCCAGCCTTCATGTGACTATGACATGGGGCCCAGGCTGTCCTGTTTACTGTGGCTGCATCAGAGTTCCCTCTCCAGCCAAGGACCTGTGCTACTCAGCCACCTTCCCAAGATCTTTTTATATATACACTAGGTCTTCATTTCTCTGGAATTCAGGAAGTGCAACAATATGGCAGGGTGGGCAGGCATGGAATGAGTCCCACAAGAGAGATGTGTACAGCTAGCAAATTATTTTTTCCCTATTTTGGAAATTCTTGAGGATTTGTGCTGAACAGCTTCAGTGTTCAAGGGGGGAAAAAGCCAAGTATTTTTAAACATCCTGGTACAGTCAGAAGCACTTGGAGAGGGAAGGGAGAAAGCTCAGTTGCAAATAACATTTAATATTGTACCAGATGCTTGCAAAAATTCAAGGAGCAGATTTTGTACTGGAGCAAGAGTCTTTGTCATTTCTCTCTGCTCCAGGAGAAGTCAGGTACAACTTCTCTGGCAGAAATGCTGTGTCAGGGCAGAGGAGGTCTGTCTACTTGTTATTACAAAAGAGCTGGAATACAAGTATTTGACAGAAGATGTTTTAATGAAAGTGCAAAGAACAACTGATATAAAGAAGTTGACTTTAAGACTAATTCTTTCTCTGTCTTAGCCACAGAAACTCTGTACAATCTTAGGGAAATCAAGTCAAATTTCTTTTAACCAGTTCCTCCTTAGGAAAAAAGCTGAGATAATGACCCTTCTTTGCCCACCCCTCCCCTTTGTGTGCTCTCACAACAAGGACACAGCCTGAGGACAATCTGCCAAGCATCCCCTAAACCTGCAAATCCCACCTCTGACATCTCTGGAAGCCTGGTCCCCTAAACCTGCAAATTCCACCTCTGCCATCTCTGGAAGCCTGGTCCCCTAAACCTGCAAATTCCACCTCTGCCATCTCTGGAAGCCTGGTCCTGGGGGTTTCCCTTCTCAGAGACTGCAGCTGCTTGTGCAGTGTCTGTGACAAGGGAGTCCCAACCTCACTCAGGATCCCAAGGGACCTAAGTAGAGAGACAGCCTTACCATTTCACAGGATGTCCTGTTGGGTAGTTGGTAGTTAGAGGTTCCTTTGTTCACCACTGCCAGGAAGAAGATGATGTACAGTTTCATGGCTCTGCAGGTAAAAGTAATTACAGTTAAACTTCATATGGGACACAGTGGTCAACACATGCAAAAGCTGGCACCAGGTCATCATCTAACATGCAGAAGGACACAAGCAGCGCAATAAATTAGGCCATCTCTGACCACTTGAAAGGAAGGTCCAAGGCGTTTAATGGGTTTTCCCCAGTGTGATTTCAGCTGCTGCCTAAATGGTATCCAGAACACTCAATGAAGTCCAGATGTTCAAGCTGGGCAGGGTGTCTGACATCATGGAGAAAGAAAACTACTGAAGACTGAGTTGTCTTCACACACCCATAGACGCAGCACCAGTGCTTTCAACAGGGTGTAAGTTTTGGGTGCCATCTTCTGAGCAAAGCCAATAGGTGCTGCTCAGTAAGAACCAGAAGTGGGAATAGTTGTCATTTCCACCCACAACACTTTCTACTCCTCTTATCCCAGAGCGTCAAAGAGCTTCTACATGTGTATCCTTGCTGAGCTAATGACAACAGCTTAAGGATTGTCCTAGGTTACAATATCAAGATGTATTCTACTCCCATCCTCAAGAGCTGCTGAAAGAGCTCTGAGCCCATGGCTCAGTGATAACTCCTTCCAGGAGCCATTTCTGTTTAATGGACCCACCACATGACTCACAGAATGATGTCAGCCCATTGGGAGATGCTCTGCCCATGGGGGAGGAGCTAAGCATCCCCACCTGGGTATAATCTGGGGTTTGGGACAGAACAAACTGCCCTTACCCATTGGTTTCCAGAGGACAAAAGCTACCAGATGGTTTCTACAGGATCACCACTTCAACAAGACTATTTCATCTGGACTGCTACCACCATCCTAACAAGCAGGGTGTCAGGTTGTATTCTAACTCTGTCAGTGGTTTTTCTTGTGTATTACTGCATGTATTTTGGGGTTTTTTTCTTTTCCTAATAAATTGTATTTCTGACTTGGAATCTCTCACTGGTTTTGCTTTCAAACCAGAACAGGAGTGGACTGAGATTTTTTATTTTACACCAGGTATGGACAGGCTTATAAATACATTTGACAAGAGATCACAGAACCATATGTTCCACAGAATCACAAAATATGTAAAACTGGAAGAAACCCACAAAAATAACTGGGTCCAATCCCTGGTCTTTTACAGCACCATCCCCAAGAGTCACACCCTGTGTCTGAGAGTGCTGTCCAAATGCTTCTTGAACTCTCTTAGGCATGCGTTGGAAGGGACCTTTAAAAGCCATCTGGTGCAATCCCCCTGCCATGGACAAGGACAGATTGTCAGCCTTACAAAGAGACAGATATAAAATATAATGGATTTGTGTGAAATAGAGAATTCATAAGAGTTTAACTGTTAGGAAAGCACTCCATAAAAGAGCACAGAACTGCAAAAGAAGCAAACACCTCCGAGAGGCCTGTCACCGGACAATGGGGAAAAACAGAACAAAAGCCAAAGGCAAGCACTCCTGCTTCAAACAGCTCCAAATGCAACCCCAATCCCATGCACAAGCCACTGGTATCAATGTACTGCTGCTCAGTGGCTTCCAACACAGAGCATTGAATAGCTGGAAACAAAAGAGATCGGATCATTCTCAGCTGATGGAGATCCCTCTGCTTGGTCACTTTGATGGATGCAGTTGATGGCCCCTCACAGCACTGACAGTCACTGAACAGCAATGCCAACATGTTCCTGACGGGAATCTGCCCATTTCTACCCTCCTGAACCAGAGAACAGAGCTGTGTACTAGGAAAAGAGAAACTGGGTAGGATTAGAACACAGCTACTCTCTGTACAGTTTGTGTATTCCTTCCATTTCACAAGAAAACCCCACTGGCCCCAAGGTGAAAAAACAGGTCGCAGTTATGGGATCAGAAGTGTTTTTCTCCCTGTTAAAACCAAACCAAGGATGTTAATTCTCTGCCACGGAATCAATGTTTGCAACATATGCTGAAATCATTGGATGGAAGGAGGAATTGCCAATATTACCATCTATAATGATTCTGTTGTCCCCCTCTGTTCTTCATTCCCCAAGCTTAGAGCAGCTGGAACCTCCTTTAAGGAGGAGAAATCTATTTTTATCATTTGAGTATTAGTTTGCTGAGATGGCAATAGAAGATGAATGCACCAATGATTACATGGCTTTTCTCCAAGCCCTCAAAGGGGAATCCTTCCTGTTCAGACAAAATGAATTAAGCTGAGGATATTAGCCACAACAGGGCACCATCCTGAGGAACAGTATGTGGCCCATGTGCTCTTCAGTGTCTTCCCTTGTCACATTGTCAGTGCAAAAAAAGGTCTGTTTGCATATTAAATAATAAACTGGGCACAATCCAGAGTCTTAACACACTTTGTAACTTCCTAAATTTTGGGTTTATAAAGCAACTGGGAAACTGGTGTATTTGAACACAAAAAAAAAAAAAAAAAAGTAATGGTTTGCTGTTTAAGGCAAATCTGTAATAAACAAGAAAGCTGTCCCTCAAGGTGTTTCTAAGGTGGCTGTCACATATTGAAGCTCATCAAGGATGTGGTGGCCTCTTCCAGCATAAAGCAACACAGACTCTGTCCTCACAGAACCATTTAGTTTGGAAAAGCCCTCTAAGACATCAGCTCGAACTGTTCTCCCAGCACTGCCAAGGCCATCACTATCCCATGCTCCCAAGGGCCACATCCACACATCTGTTAAATCCCTACAGGGATGGGTCTCCATCACTGCCCTGGGCAGCCTGTGCCAGTGCTTCACCATTGTGGTGAAGAAACTTTCCCTAATATCCAAACTGAACCTCCCCTGGCACAACCTGAAGCTACTTCCTCTTGACCTGTCATGGTACAGCCCAACCTCCTTGCTCAAGGAGATTCCCTCCCTAGGGTAGTTTTCAGTTCAGCTGTCCAGGGCAGGAGCTTTTCCTGCATAGTTTTTCTCTGAACAACCTTTAGATCCTTCTCAGCAACCTCTAGTGTGACACGTCAGTGCATCCCCTCTTTTCTACCCTCTGGGCAGGTCTCAGCATCCCCCCACGCTCTCCCAGTGCCAAGCTCAGGGTTACAGGACCCTCATTCCCTTGGTGTGCAAGAGGATGTCTACCAACACTAAACCCCTCCTGTTGGCATTGATCTCTCCACACACAGCTGACAAAAACAGTTTGGGAGCAGCAGCAGCAACAACTCAAAGGGGCTTTTATTGCTTTGAGGCTTTCCCAGAGCTGAAGTAGCTTCATGATCAGTGCCAGTTTGCTCCCACCGGAAGCTGTGATAGAAACCCCAGCAAAACTCAGAGGATTGAGCCCTGAACCCCATTTAAATCCACAGCTTTCCATTACACCACTTCAAAATCATGCAGTGTCAACCCCAGCTGAAAAATACAGGTGGTTTAAGTCAGTATCATCCCCAAGGTGTATTAATAAGTCAGTCAAATAATTCTAGAAAAAGCATACCCTGACCATGTCAGCATGCCCACTTAAAAAATAGGAAAGACAGAGAAGGCAGAGAAGACCAGTAATTTGCCCCAACAGACATTTCAAACTATGGAATAATAACAATTCATTCCCAGTTTCCACTTCAGAACAATGTTTGCCTCCATCTCTACCAAACTATTAATCCTGAAACTACTCCACAGATGTTGTTTGCATAATAAAAGCAGCACTTTCCAGATTTCCCCCAAACGTAATTTTTGTTATTGCTTAGACAATTAACGGAGATGCTCTCCTGTGCCAAGGAAAGTTAAACACAAGAGAACACACAGAACAAAAACCACACTCCCCAGGGTCTGATCCTTTTCCACACAAGTCTCTTTCCTGTTAAGTTAGAGCCTTCAGGGGTAAAAAGAGGGACTATTTCACATTTACCTTGTTTCAAGCGTTTCTTGCATCCCCAAACAGTGCTTATCATCTCTTTAAAAAGCATGTCCAGCTCTTCAAAATCGATTCAGTCCTGGTATCGATGCAATTATTCTTCTGGTTCATGTTCACCCCTTCAGGACACCTAGATGTTCACTCATAACTTCAGAATGAAGGCATTTTCAGGGAAATAACCTTATTTGGGACCGTGCCTGCTTTAAATTATGTTGCTTGTCTTCCTCTCCACTCCTCCCTGGGCTCGTGCTGGGTCCCAGCCACTGCTGTGCTCGGGACGGAGTCAGCTACTGTGTGACATCCTGCAGCCCTTCCTTGGGGCAGGCATTGAGACACTGGGGGATTTCTGCCAGAGGAACTGTCAGGAGCAGGCTGGGGGCTTTCTCCAGAGATAAAGTAACTTATTGGCGATGCCATTGTTTGGCTGTGTGCGTGGGGCATGACAGTGTGTTTATTTTGGGTGTGTCTGCAAGCTACATTCCTGGAGGGTTGTAGGCTCCTGCACCTAAATCCCTCTCTGCATCTTTAAGGAAACAGTGCTTGCGGATTAAATGTTTAAAGTTCGTGGCTGATAATTATAAGCCCCAAAATCTGGAAAACTATTCTGGAAGAAATAACTTTTCTTTTTGCAGGCAGCCTACTAATGAGAGTGTGATTGCATTCTGCTGGCTAGAGGGGGGTCCATTGCTGGCTACAACACCCTTGATGGATTTTCATCGCATGAAGCAGGAATTAGGGCTAAAGGCCTCCATAAAGGTATTTTCAGATGAGCTGCTGAATTTTTGGCTGTAAGTAGACAGCGCTGAATATACTGGATCCAGTGGGAAGAATTCTCACTGCAAAGGGGTGCTTTTGTCATGCAGAAGATGATTTCAAATTGTCCAAGTTCGCCTTTTTATTTATTATTTTGTGCTGCCCTCTAGAGCTAGAGCAGCTGGTTTCCTCATTTCCTTTTGCTAATTAAGTCCTGCTTCAGGAAAACCCACTTCTACACAGATTTCCCTGCTGTTTTCTCACAGAGACACAAGCCTGAACTGCCACAACACAGTTTTCCCATGGCTGAAATACTACACCCAAAGAGCTGGGCTCTTAGTTTGCTTGGTAATGCACCCTGAAATGAGAGGTATAAATCACAGATTTATGGAATCTCAGAATGGTTTGGATTGGAAAGGACCTTAAAATTCATCTGGTTCCAGCCCCCCTGCCATGGGCAGGGACACCTTTCACTGGACCAGGTTGCATGTCTAGCAATAAAAATACTATGACAAGGCAACAGGGGAGAGTATGATTGGGTGCAATGGATAGAAAAATACTCGTTAAGCTCTCAGGAGAACTGTCCACCAGTGAGATTCTCACAATCTCAGAAAAGTTTCCCTTGACTGGGCTCTCATCATGTTAGTTTTGATCACCTTCCCCCAAGCTTGTCATGTCTTGAGCTTCACTTTGCAGTGCTGTTTTTGACTTCATCCCTTTGGCATGCTCCCTGGAGTCAAGCTCTCCATCTGCAACCCCCGTGGGGAAAGCAGCAAACTCATGTTGAAACTGGGGACCACTGTGCTATTCAGAGATTTAAATGCCTTTTGGATGCTCTGGGTTTAGAGCTTGCCTCATCAGCAATGTGCAATAGCACTTGGAAAGCACAGACACCTTGCAAGGCAAACCTCAAATATTTGAGGTCTCCAAGGAAAATAAATACTTTTTTTTTTTAGTAGAATATTTTTATCTGATTTTAACTGCAAATATCATGCCTCTAATTAATAGCAGCAGGTGGCCAGGATGGTGGCAGCTTCTACACCTGGATGTTCAGAGCACTTTAGGAAGTTTGGATTTACAGGGATAAAAATAGCAGAGATTTTGTGCTTTTCAAAAAGCAGCTCTGCTCCTCAAGCTGTTTTATTGAGTAACCAAGTAGCTGTGCCAGCTGAACTGTAAAGAAGAGCCTGGACAGAAACAAATGCCAAAGCAGGAGGGAAGGGCATGCACTGATTCTACTGCTCAGGGCTTTGCTTCAATAAAACTACACTTTCAGAGGACACCAGCTGCTGTGGGAAAGATCAGTGCTGTCCTTGCCATCTTTGTCCTTTCCCAAAGGGGATCTGGCAGCAAACAGTTTCAAAGACTCCAAAGCATTTGGCTGATTTCCCAAATTTTCAATAATTTTGGCTTTGGGCTACCCAGCAGTTTACACTATAAAGTGGTGTTGAAACTTTAGCATGGCATGGGTAAGATACATCTGCAGGGCAAGTGTCACCTGCATCAGTCAGAGACTGGGTCAGAGAATCAGAGAATGGCCCAATTTGAAAGGGACCTTGTAGATAATCCAACTCTCCTGCCATGAGCAGAGACTCATTCCATTAGACCATGTTGATTCAAAGCCCCAGTCATTACCACCTTCATCACACAGATTGGAGAACCAAGCTTTTTTTGCCCACAAAATAGCAAGGGTTGTCCCATCCCAAAAATGCCAAAGGGTATGCTAGTTTTCCACCACAGAAGTGATGTTCTAAGAGAAGCTGCTATCAGTTTCCTCTGTGTCTGACAAAAAACCAGTCAGTGATCAGCTTTGAGAATTGACAATCTGTTAAACCACTGAGAAAGCTGATACACCTCTGTGAACTCTCATGTTAAAAATGAAAAATCCCAGGAATTCAGCCTTGCCTCTTCTGGCCTGAGAGCAGGTAACTGTGAGAAACAACTGTTCATTTTGCAAATTTAAAAAGATTTATTAAACCTTAACAAAAATACAACAAAGGACTACATAAGGAAGAAGCTGCAGCACTGGGAACTGCCCCTCGTGGACACCACATGGCCAGTTCATCTTCAAGATGGATGCTCAGTCTTTTGTACCCCTGGGGGTTGCATCAGCCAGCCCAGCCCTCCCAAAGTCTGTCACTCAGCTCTTCTTTGCCATTTATCAGTGGAGATTGCTGCCTTGTGACTCGATTGGAGGTCAGGTGTTGCCATGCTGCACCCCCTGAGCAACCCCTGAGCTTTTCCATTCCCCCCTGCCCCATGCCAGGGACACCTGTGCAGCTTCTCTGTACCTGTCCCGGACAGCCCCGGCTGTGTGATGGCAGCAATACAGGGGGAAAGGGACCTGTGGGGAGAGCAGAGGGCATCTCAACTACAGTAACATAACTGTACATCACTAAAGCTTTTCTTAATATTCACACAGTAGTTATCTCTTAATTGCGAGAGCCAATCATCTCATTATCCATCTATAGCATAACTCAGCCGGCCTGGCCCCCCTGTCTAGGCCTTAATCTTAGGACTGAAATCCTCTTGTAAAGCTATAGAGAAAAATTAAATTGATCCATCAAACTTTTTTTCCCTATAACGCATTGAAGAATTATGGGGGCATGGATTGTTCAAACCTGTGTTAAAGCAGGCAAATGTTGAAATAGCTGTGAATTTAATTAAAAGCTTGAACAGAGAGAGAGAAGAGTGATGAAGACCCTGTGCCCCCAGGGAGAGAAGAAAAAGACCTCTATTCTCAGAGATGAAGATGATCTCAGAAATTTGCTTTTGAACAGCTCATCCTTAAAATAGCATCCCATAACTTAACATGGCCCATAAACACAACTGTGGGGAAATCTGTGAAAAATGGGAGGGACTTCACAATTGCAGATTTAATTTTTCTGGGCAGCTGCTATTAGTGAAAATTAGAAGCCACGAGAGAACTGTTTTCTTATAGAAAAGTCTCCATAAATTTACTAGAGGGACTCCTCTCCCTAAGTGAACTTTGAAGAAAAACTATTCCAGAAGTGATTAACTGACTGAATTATTTCTACATGTTTTGAGAAAGAAAAGGTTGTAGGGGGAGGAGAAATGTTCTAAAACTTTATTCTGATTCTTATTATATATAGTTGGGGTTTTTTTAGTTGCTGTTAATAAAGATGTATTTATATCCTTTTACCTTTGAGCCTACTTTGCCTTCCTCCTAATCCTATCTCACAGCAGGAAATGAGTAAGTATATTCTAGTGAGTGCACTGGCATTTGGCCAGCACTGAAACCCACCACACTGTGAAATCCTTATTTTCCAGTGGTGTCTCAGCAGTCACTTCCGACTCGGTTTCTGTGAATGTCAGTTGAATTTCATCCTATGTCACCCAAAGTGAGGGACACCTTATCAGACCTCTCCTCTCCTCCAAACCCTTTCCCCACCATGGCCCAGAGCAAGAAGAAAAAGCAAATCCTAGCTGCTGGCTCTTATCAGTCAGTCTGTGAACTGCTGCAGGTCTCCAGGGGTTTCAGAGGAACAAGAAAATGTCTTGACGATTTTGTGTCTTGAGTCTCCAGACTTTTTGGAGTCTGTCCATTCATAATGCTGCTGCTTTCTAAGGCACTGCTTTTGTTTGAGTCCTGTGTCAAGCTCTATGAATCAAACTCTCCAGAGAAAGACATAAAGCAAGTTCCTGCCTTAGAAAGTAGGTCTGAACTGTAAACGCAGGAGTGGGACAAGTCTTGCTCCTTTTTGGCTGGAATAGCTCCCTGGTCATTCATCTCACAGGGGAGATGGAGATAACATTAATATTAACCCTATTAAAAAGAATACCCAATGCCATTCTGAGCCACAGATTTTGAGAAGAGGCACAGCTCCAGCTCCTGACACTCTGTAATTCCAGAATCTCCAGAAGCTGATTCTCCTGGTTCATTTTGTTCCCCCAATCTGCACTGTGCTTGGCATCCCGCAGGCAGATGCAGCTCCTAGTCTTCCTGGTGTCAAGTCCATAGATCAAAATAGAGACTACTCCATCTCCTGTAAAGCCAACAAGGCTTTTGTCCTGTCTTTTGAAGCTGCTGCCTTCCTTCCTTCTATTTCTGCCCTCTCTTCATGTGCATCTTCATCAGATGTTCAGCCAACAGCATTTCCCCACCAAAACTTAACATTTCCAATTATTGAGGTTTTAGCCAGGTTCCCTATTTTATTCAACCTTTTTCCTCCTACTCTCTTCAGGAAAGAGAATGTAAATGAACAAGAACTGAAGGAAAGCCACAAGCCTGGAGAATTTGTGA